TCCAACGAGTTATTTCCGGTTTATTGCGTTTCTATATCTTGTGTGTATTGGGTATCATTCCGCAGTAAAAGAGCAGTGTTTCGTTTAGTTCGGAACTATGGATATTTCAGTCTAAATGTTCAGAAAACAATCGCTCTAAATAAGGTGTTGCATCAACAGTTTGGTAGCAAATAACATCAAGTCCACCAAACTTTCTTCTTTTGCTTCCTCTTACATTTATTTAATATTTATTTTTTATATAACGGCATATTAGTGGCCGGGGTGAAACATCTTTTAAAATAAACATAAAAACTGTGCTTCGAAACGAATTTTGGTACATTCGTAATGTATTCACCATTTTTATATGCAAAGTATGTGTTCACTCGTCTTAACTCTAGCGTCGTAACCAGTCACCTCGTTCATGCTATTTCAAAGTTCGCCATTTCTACCTGAAATTTCCTACCTTAAATCCCCCTTATTGTGTGTTTTGTATATAAAAGAAAAGTATTTGAAGAAGAAAAGTTTTTGACGAATTAAATTTAAAAGAGCAAAAGAGAGAAGAAAGCGATCGAAATATCATATTAAAGAGTTTGAGGATGGTCGTTTTGAAGCTTTGCAATACTGACTTTAAAACGTCAAAACGTCACAGACAACCGTTTTCAAAATGGCGATAGGACATCAAATATCGTACTTTTCAAGTACACTTTGTACAACATGTCTCCATGTGACAAGATCATTTAAATTATTCAGGATGTATTCAGATCAGTTGTTGTTTAGTCGCTACGGTCATTGACATGTTATTAGTATTATTATTAGTTGTATACAAATACTTATGTAATCATAATAATTACAATATTAACATTGACAAATGTATTTATATATTATTACTGTATTTGAAATGTCGCTTTGTCTATTCCGGTGTCCTTTAAAGATTGAGAAAAAATTATTAATTAACAGTTTTATGCATTTTAGCCGACGATTATACTATCAATACATTTTCAAAAATATAGAATTGAAGATTGTTCACAATGATCATGTCATCTCCTTCTAAGCCGATTTTAAGACCCATGTAAACCAGTCGGGAAGACGGTGCTTTTTAGTACTGAGGGTACTGTAGCCCGGGAAAAGTGAGACAAATCACTGAAACACGGGAGACAACTTTCGGTGAACATTTAAATGGCCTGAAGTAGAAATTTTTCTTGCATGAATAAAGATAATTCACACAAAATATTCAATATCTGTGTTATGATTATTACTATCAATATTACGTTCTAGAGGATTTTTCTCTGCACATTATGAAATTCATTATCTGACGTACAAATTCATAACCGACATTTGTAAATCGGATGTAAATGTGACAATATTTACCACCGGAAGTGACAAATTGTGAAAAAGTGACTAAAGTGACAACTTGTGACTGAAATGACAAATAGATTATTAATACCGTGTAGATACAATTACTGGTAATGCTATAAGACACATGTACAAAATAATTGCATACATGGAATAATTTTATAACAAACTTACAGCACAATTCTAAAGTCAATCAATGTAACCTCAATTTACTATTCAACCCATTCACAATCAATGGTGATGTAAACGGCATTGATGTACAATATCATATCTCTACTTGAAACTAATTAATTTCACAAGCAACACTGCTAAATATATATACCACATCCTCGATAATCCAGGGGATTACACGGTTCTTCGATCTCTGCATCCATGGAAAATGTCGTGGCAAAATTGAAGATTTCATGTGCGACACCTTGGACATAACGAAAATACTAGTTTAAACCTTTGATGAACATAAAACCAATCTAGAGGTCGCATAAGTATATATCGTCATGGCTTTGCAGATGAATACATCTTCTTTATAATCTTCAAAAGGAGCGTATAAGCCTGTGATTGGTCAGTTGTTTCTCCTGGAACCAGCAAATAACCTCACCTGCGCAATTTTGCCATGACATGTTCCAGGGGTGCAGAGAGCGAATGTGACTGTAACCCCTGCAGTATCGAGGATGCATATACCAAAGTTAACTCTTATTGTTACCATCTTAATATTACATAGACTAATTAGATATCTGAGCGTATTAAGGGAAGTAACTCGAATGACTCGAAACGCATTCCTAACCACGGACATTCTCGAAACTTGATACATCTTACCCACATTATGATCTGGGAATGACGTTATCGGTTTTCAGTGTAGCCGATCAAGAATATTAATTATTCGTGTACTTTTTCAAGTGTCGCCATGTAGATTTTTTGAATATTTTGTTATGGTGTTATGGGATTTGAGTTTGTATTATGATTATCTTGTTATTTATTACAATATCAGTTTGATGTCATCAGATATCAATATTAAGCGTTAAGGACACCATCATGGCATTACCGTATCAGATAACATTGCCTTAAAATCAGCGTTGTCTTTTCTATGAGCATTAGGAGCCTTTTCTTGTGGGGGAATCAAATGATATCTGTTCGCTGCTACTTAGATATATACAAGAAATCGTAGATGAAACAGAAAACGCTGACTCCTCCGACACTCCTTATTTGGATGGAATAAGATTTACAAGATATGGTAGATGAAGCAGAAAACGCTGACTATTACGAAACATTCCTTTTGTAATTTTCCAAAGGTATCAGTATAAATTGTAAGGTGTATATTTCTTATGTTCTTATTTTGCTGTCGTTTGATCAATTTTAAAGTAGAATTTTGTTTACATGTTGATATTTTCATTCTAGTCACTTGTGTGTAAACTTCCTTATGTCGATACAATAGATATTCTGTTGTAATGAACAGCGCATTGGTCTCTTCTTTCTCTTGTCACGAAGACATTACCGATCTCTGCATGACGTTCAGCTGCAACCGGAGGTACTGATTAGCCCCATGTCAATAGAATGTGACCGGACGATTTTTTGAGTTGCGTGTTAACAGAACCAAGAATAGACGAGATGTTTATTTCGGTATTCATCAATGATAAGTATCAAAAACTTAAATCACACAAAATTTGGGTCGTATTTAGATGTTTTATATTTTTGTCACCATTGCACCAGCTAAGATAATGGATTATAGAACAACTCCAAGTCGTTTCTATATAATCACAGTGAAATGCCACAACTTTTCTGGACATGGTGTGATGGCCCCAATCTGGTTTTATGATTATATATATTATAATACAAGGTGTTTTAAATTGACCATGAAGCATTGAACAGAAAGCTTATATCATAGATAGACCTTTTTTCCCTTAATCTGACGGGCCGCAGGAAACATTGTACCCAAACTGTGACATAAGCAATTGATGCATAAAAATAAAAATGGTCAGTCGGAAACGGATACGTGTCCTACGTTTACTCTGCTTTTAATAAATTGTGTGTCTTTTTTTTACAACGTTTGAAATTACAAGTGGTAGACACCGTTAGTTGAATGTAGTCCCCAACGTTTACCGTTATCTGCGTGCCACGTTTTAATCCATTCGAATAGCAACACATGACAGAATATACCAATGCATTTGATGTTGTTCTTCAATACTCAGATAAATGCTAAATTCTGAAATTTATTAATGGGCTAGTGCACCTCTTAATATAGATTTATAATTTTTGTATTGTTTGGCTCTACTGTATCGAAAGTCTTAAGTTGTATCAAAAGCTGCAGTTCATTTGTTGTTTGTACAATACACAAAGAAAAGCAAGGATAATTAAATATGTTTTATTTCAAACATAATTGTCCAGCACGCAATGCTAATCCAAGTGATGATAAAAATAGAGATAACTTAGGTGTTAGATATACATATAGCATTGAACTGTGAACTTTTATTAGAAATTAAGCTTGAGTGGGGCATCGTTTGTGGTTTAAAGGAAAGTGTTTCAAAATTGGTATCATCGTTTGAAAAAGTAATTATTATTATTATTTTGCGAATGAGTAATTAAATACACAATGTGTTGTAATTTCATTAGCCAAGGATTTGTCCTCGACCCTTGGCAATTGGCATTTACTGACTGATTACAACAATCACACTAAATACACATCAATATATAACCTGGATAATGTTGTCATTGATCCTGGATATAATATTGCTCCTGGTGGTTCTTCATTTATGAGGAAAAACAGGAAAGGGTTGATATTCCAAACTTCTGTACATTTCAGGTTACCAAAATAAGAAAGAAAACAAGGAGGTGGGGAGGGGAATAACAGACAATTATAGAAGGAAAAAATTACCTTCAAACTGATGACAATACCATCTAAATTTTTTTTTCAATGGGAGGCAGTATATATTATATTTAAAAGTATATCAGCATATTTTTGCCCTTTTTTCCTATATATAGGAAAAGGAAACCTACGGTGTCCCTTTTAATGCCGGAAATATTCAAATCTAAACTTTTAATTCTGTACAATATTTGTATAAAGGAACATTCTGTAATTGAACGAATTCTAGCGGTGATCTTATCGTGGTGTTTTTCATTATAAAGATGTTGTGCTAAAATATTGCGCTTTCGCAGTTCTGTGAGTTGTTTATTTAGCAATTTAATTGGAAATGCAAGAAATCATCATTGTCTATATTTGTTGAAATTAAAATTTGATTGCGCAGAAATGAACAAGTGTACAGCATTATGCATATGATAATGAGCTAAATAAATGGACGTATAGTGGCTTGGTTCAAAAGATAAATATGTACTTGCCGTTCTTCATTAGGTATGTGAAAATTTATTGAATAATTGGGCTGGTAATCTCACCTATTTGAATGTGACATATCTATCGATCACCTTGGATTTTTCTCATTCCCCCCTAGGCTTCGACATTGTTGCTCTTAGCATCACTACAGAGTCCGTGAAAGACGAAACAGGTGTATGTTGAAGTCTTATTAATTTTGTTTTTTTTCTCTGCTATATCTAACTCTAAGTTTGTGCTTTTCGCTTGTGTATCTTTTGTTAATTTTTTTCTAACTTCATAGCATTTACAACCAATAACAAGCTGATCATTAAATAACAGAAAAGGAAGTCAAAATGAATATACGGTTTGTTGATAAAATGTTAGAGAGCCTGAACGACCCCTTTTTTGAGAAGTGGGCCATGGTTGTATAACTGTAGAGCCGGCCACACAACGTGGTTTAGTCGAGTTCCAGATTTCGTGTACAGATTAAACTTATCCCTATCTATGGTGCTTCCTTTTTCGCTTTGAGGCCAGTAGAGCTCCACCGGTGGGTCTTGTACCACCATAGTCCAACACAACGCGATGCACTCGGATATATACTCTGTCATGATAGCGTCCTGATGTTCGCCACCAGTGGGTTTTAAGAGGACAGGTAACAGATCCTAGAAAGAGAAGGATACGTTAACAGTACCTCAAATCATTATCATGCCGTACATTCAACATGTTTTACCAAGTTTCTCATAAACATGCGATATGGGAAAATGTCAAAAACATAACAGCGCACATGATTATTATCAGTTATTACTTGTCCGTTGAAACCGATCAAAGGATACAATAAATGTGTTAACGTATCACTCCCAACTCACGACTCGATGAAAGCGATTGTCCTACTAAATGCAACCCGATAAAAACATACAAAAAGTGATGATGATTGAAAAATGAATAGCAACCTTTAAAATCGCAAAAAAGAATCGCTTATGTTGTTGGGGTTTAGGGGTCGACAAAGGTTGTTATAAGACTAGGCAGGATAACTTAAAAGCTGATTCAGAAGTGTTTTACTTGGAAAATAGGAAACCATTGCTACATTACAAATTATGTAAAAAGAAACAAAATACCTTAATTAGATATTGTTCAGCAAGATAAGCACATTCTTTCCGTGTATCTTTCAATGTTTTCATTTCAGCTACAAATTTTGTCTGAAATAAATGACTGTTATCTTTGAATGTCTCGCAAAGCCTTTAAAAATCTCTAAATTAGCAACATGCAATAATACAAAGCATTATTGGTTCCTCATTGAAAAAAGTATTTATCGCGGAAATCTCAATGCTTAGTACATTAATATCTAATTATCAATTATATTACTAATTTTTATTGCTGGTTAAATGCATTCTTTTTCTATGAAATGTTGATATATATTTTCTTAAAAGAAATCTTTGAAAAGACCAAAGTGGGAAAACTATGGAAAATGCTTCCTTTTAATGTGAAACATTTATCTGATTCCACACCTTTAATCTACAACAGCTAGTCTGAGGTGAGATAAAATTGTATTCACATAATTAAGTTGTAATCCCTTGTCATTTAACACTATGTGATCCATATTTTCTTTGCTTGGCTGAAATTATTTGATATTCATACTCATGGGTACTGTAAAAAATATATTGTTTCATTTCCGAAAACAAAAACGGTTTTTCATTTAAGTTCTCATCAAGCGTGTTTTCACTACAGTTATCAATGAATTTTGTAATTCTAAATGTTCATAGGAAATGAAAATATTAACTGGCCAATACCACTGACGAACTTCCATCAGATAACCAGCTACAGACTGACCGAGAATAAAGAGGATTACAAAATTCTCAATTTTAGTTTGTTTTCTACATTTCTTCTCTCATACAAATCAAAAATGAATCCTGTAATGTACATGAATATGGTTTACCGTAGATATGGTAGGTTCCTTGGTGTCATCAGGTCGAGAAGTGACACCATCACCAGCAGCCATGAAGACTATTCTCTGTAGATGCTGTAGCTGGCTGCAGGCTTTCTTAGAACAGAAGGTGTAACACTCCTGTTTGGTTAGAGATTATTTCAGAAATGATGTATGATATATGACAGGTATTGGTGTCGCATTGAAAATGATGTCAAGTAGTCTTTTGTATATGAAAGGAATATGTAATTAGCCGACCTGTCCTATTCAACCTTTTTATACCCTGTCTTGTTCAAATATCAGAAATGACATTTATACTCAAATTTTATATCATGAAGAAACGGTAAGTTAGAATTCCGATCAAATACCTGTAGGAAATACTATTTTCACCAGAAAAGTAATGCGTACCAAAAATGGATAATTTTCAAGACCCAGGTTATTCCATAGAGGAAATATATTATTGATAGTGGCTTGTCAATATATATATTTACTTACTTTTTCAAGGAAACAGAAATAATTTATATTGTCATAGTTAAAAAAATATATTTATATATAGCTTTTGCCGTTTATATAATTACCGTTTGAAGGTGATACTATTGCGCAAAGTTGCTAAATCATGCATATATTTTGCTATTGCACTGGTAAAATACATAAGGAAGGGCTAAATGTCGTATATATTGAAGAAGTGGTGTCAACAAATACAACTCAGGTTGCAGATTTATACGTTTTCGCTATACTCGGAGAGTCTATATACAATATATAAGCATGCATGGGAGACAATGCCGCTACGATTGACTGCGAATTAGTAAATGAATAACATAAGGGGATGTTAACATTTTGATTACACTTTGTTGCATTCGCTGCCCCCACCACCACCACCCCATCCCCTCCCTTGCGTTGATTGTATTTTAACAATAATACATTTACCAAGCAGAATATAGATTAATAATTCGATGTAAAATATGATGATATATATTACACTACCACAGAAGTAAGACAATGAAATCATAAATATCATAAATTGTTGACCTTTGCTAGAGTAGACAAGTGTTGTATTGCCAGTTCCTCTGACATCTGTTTGGATTTTTGCAAGTACTCTATTGCGTTGGTCCACTGGTTATCGTAAAGTTCCGAAAACTTGTCTGCCAATTTCAGTGGTCTATTTGGGTCACTCAGATCTGTGATCTCGGGGTTATTGTCCCTCAGTTGTTTTCCAGCAATGCAGCTCATTCTTATATAAAAGTGCGCCAAAGACATATATTTAATAAGCATATATATATAGATAATAAGAAAATAATTACTTTTAAAAAGTCATGTTTGAATGTTTCTTATTTCTACATCAGCTGAATACACAGACTCGTTACATATGTTCCATGTGAAATATTTTCAACAAAATGTGAGGAACTAGTTTCAATATCTTATGGATTTGAAAACAAGATATCTATTTTGGCGTCACTCTCACCTATTTATCCAATAGTCTTTTTCCTCTGTAGTTATCTTGAGAGATTTCTTTAAACTTTTAACTTCCTCTGTGGTTTTTGTGAGGTAATTCTTTAAACTCTCAATTTCGCCTTTCATATCACTGCATCGTGTTCTCAGATTTGAGATCTTCATTCGCACCTTTTCCATCTCTTCAGACTTCTTTATAATAAATTCTAAATCTGCTATTTCGCGTGAATGATTGTTGTTTATTACCAGTAGATCCTGACGTTCCCGTATTATTCTCAGAAATAAAATAACATTCTATCAAACTAAGAAAACCCATATATAAATCAGAAACCTAATAGTATGCATGCTTGTGCAGATAAATATATGTTACAGATATTCCTGTACAGATCAATACAATGTATATATATTCTAATACATATCAATACATTTTATAGATATTATTGTACAGATAAATACATTTGATATATATTCTTGTCTAGATCAATATATCTAATAGATCCTCTTGTACAGATGGAAACCTTTAATAGATACTCTTGTCAAGATCAATACATTTTATAGATATATAGATATTTTTATACAGATCAATACAATTAATAGATATTATTGTTCAGATCAATACATTTTATATATATTCATGTACAGACCAATACAATTAATATATATTTATATCAAATAGTATAATTTCCGCCGTCAACAATACAATCATCTATGAACTAAACTATGAACGTGAGACTTCTTACTCATTCCAAACTTTCTTACTACGAAAAATGCATCATCCATCATACCAAAATCGCCTAGACACACGTATACAAGTGTGGAATAGAATAAAATACGAGAAAGTTCAAACTCTTGTCAAAATAACGATTTTGTTGGTTAGTCTTTAAAGAAGAGAAAATGTTGTAGATATTAAGCATTCTTACCTAGTTTAAAACATGCTTGACTTTTAAAACTCACATATTTATTTATATATGTTTGCTTTCGATTATTTAACATATTTTATGAAACTTTGTATATAAAAAAATATATTTACAAGTATAGGTTCTGTTTGCTTCTTTTCTTACCTCTGATTACGTTCCCATATGCTTTTCGCGATCTCAATTGGACTCAGTGTAGATTGAGATGATTCTGTAAATTTTGGATCAGGTGGCATTGATTTCTCTAGGACGGGAGTTATATTCCGGTCAAGCCAGTGGAGCCATTTAAATGTACCATTTACTTCCAGGTCACTAATAGAAAACAATTTACAACAAGTAGAAAGAAACCTTTATAAAATATCAGTCATTGCAATACCCAAACACTTCTACTGTAACGTAGAAGCTTAGTTTAACTTTGCGGAATAAATTATCCTGGTTGTCCATTTCATGCATGATTAAGATCTATTGATCATTCAACTATGCTAGTTCCTTACATTCCGTGTTACTATATTCAGACTAAGGTCAGGTATGACAACTCGTTGATATTCGGCTATTGTATCAGTACCCTAATAGCAGTACAGAACATCAAATTAGGTTGTAAATTAAGAGTTCGAGTTGTGATATTGTCATCAGAATATTTATCAACTTTGTCACTTTCTTGATAAAGATTCACAAAACGGGCACAAGAAAACAATCACCTTCAATACAAACATAGGGTTAGATACTAAGAGAAATAATAATGATAGTAAAATAACTGCGTCATTCAGCTGTTTTATTATTCTAAATCAACAATAATGATGCTAAAAGGCTTTAATTATGAAATCTATGAGGCGACTGATGGAAAACAAGATAAATCGAAGTAAATGTAAAAAACCGAATGGGGATCCAATTAATTCAATATTTGTGTATATTTTGGACCATATCACTATTTGAACGAGAATTTTAAATGTGCCTTGCAGATTACTACAAACATCGCGGACGCCAATGGCTACCACTGTAACCTTGGAAACTTCATTTCCTACCAATGTGAAGGTTGAATATGATCAAATAACTACCCGTTGATGTTTTCTCTGTCCACTGGTGACAAACTCTCTAGAAATGTACACAGTGTCGTGATATCAGAACATAGGTGCAGAATTTGATCAAGCTGCTTTTCAGATTCTCTCTGTTTACCAGGTTGGTAGCAATTGGACGTTTGTCCACCAAGAGATTCCACGTGCTTGTGTAGACTCGTTCTGACGTTGGTAAGATTTCTAAAATAACAATGGTCACTATTAACGACTCACAGCACTACGTTATTTACAGGTAAATCAAAACTAGATTAAATGTGGAAGTAATCGTGTATTTGTGCATGCTTGAAAAATACGACGACGTTTGTATTTCAGCATATGCTTTTTAAATGTCACTTTTAGAAACACAGATAATTCATGAAGTCAGTGATTTTCTTTGTTGAAACAAACAAGTCTATTTTCTTTATATATTCATCGAAGTGAAAAACTGTAATTTCCTAGGAGTAATTATTCTGACTCGCGTCATCAGGCACGATTGGTCGTACCGTCGACGTCGGGTATACACAGCTTTGATAGACGAAACAAACGGTAAAAAACTCGATAGTCTGAATTTGCTCTAAGTGATTTAGGATAAAAATAGTACACAGTAAGTGTCTTAAAACACAAGTTGTATTTTGGCTCGGGGCAGAAAAAACAAAAGTAACCGGCTAATACTGTCTTTCTGCACACTCGCCAAAATACAGCTTATATGTATAGACACTAACCACATAATGGAGACACATTAATTAAGTTATCTGTCTATCCTCATTTTGATAGATAAATTTGCACTGTAATTATCTTTGTGTACAAAGGTATTACAATGTGTTTGGCGATTTAGTTTAAAATATCATACCTTATAATATCATGTTTTTTTCTTTTCCCTATTGATTTCACATCTTCCGTCATGTTGGATGATATGACTGAAAAAGGAAGTAAATTTAAATCTATACCAGGAATCTTGTAACGAAATGTACACCAACAAAGAGATCGAATATATCATAATAAAGAATAGCATTGGAATAATCACCACCGTATATACATGTACTGTGTAATAATTGGCGAGAATTTGTGTATAGTGTACTTGAAAATCACGAACATTAAAATTAATATGGGACGACAGTCAAGACTTTGTATATAATGTACCCTATACCAATATATCAGGGAACCAGCAGATTGTACGCTGTACCGTTTAAATACTGCCCCATAAATAAGCCTTCAGTGTGAGGTAACATGATCGACACCAAACCTGCGGTTTACTCAACCAGAAAAGACAGTGTTGCAGTAATGCAAAACGAAAGTAGATATATATATAATAACACTGTTTGAAATTATTACAATATTCTGATCTAAAATGTTAGCAGCATTATAATATACCATGGGTATTTCACGAATGTTTGTTCTATTTCACAAATAATTAAGCTTACCCTGTATGTTCCGGACAGCTTTTTCTCCTCCTTGGTTGCTAAACTTCCTGGTTCTTTCATTGTACTATATATAAAGTTGTTATCTGCTTGAGGTCAAAGGTTATAAATAACACGGTGTCAAGTAGACAAACGCTTGAAATACAACACTAACATAAAGAGATAAAACATTTTAAAGAATTGCTGGGATAAAATATCTTCCGGAATTTACAAGTATTTAGATGTTTTATTGAAATAAAGTACTCGGGTTATTTGCGTAAGGGAAGCGATGACGTAAAATACAAATAAGACACAGTAGAGTCGAACAATGAATTAAACTGCAGCTGTTTGTCCTACTAGGACTCTTCAGTGATGCTAAGAACCTAAATGTTAAACCCATAGAAGACGACTGAGAAATTAAAAAGTGATTAAAACAATCAAAATTTAGAAGGGGATATGCATTATCCTCATAATTTAATACATATGTAGGACTTTGAACAGACAAATGATTCATTCACTAGATCTGGGAACGCTGACGTGCTTTGGTGAGACAACGCATAAGAATATGACGAGTCAAGGGGACGGAAAACCTGTTAGCATGCAGTCAATCAACCAACCAACATTACATTCATAGATGGATTTGCCGGGGGAAACATTGATTTTAAATGCCATACGCCATGTCAGAGATATTTTGGATCTTACTACCTTGTTCTGCTGAAATCAAAACGAAAATTATATATTTTTATATATTTAGACTTTAAATACAAGACAAACAGAATAAAAAAGCAATTGTTTCATAACGAATTATTTCAACCATACTAGATATCGTGTACGTCCACCATTCTCGGTCTTTCAAGGCTTTTAAGCCTTTTAAACTTCGTCTGATATGATGATGATGATGATGATGCTGATCTTAGCATACCTTTAAAAGATATACATTTACAAATTACATATCATATTGTACAGTGTATCGTACAAGTATGTTCTAAACAATTATATAAACATAATGTGGTCTGTAAGAGTTACCTCCCCTGAATAGTCTGCTTAAATTTCCTATCCTGCGATCAGTATCTCATGCTGTTAAAAACGATTAATCCACATAACAGAATAATTTATAGGTATACTGGGTGGCATTTATGGAACCCCAATCCATTAATCATGCCGTTAAAAAGATGGAAGGGAGAGAACTGAATATAACAGGAGCCTACTTATGATTGCTTGACTGTGGTCTTTTATGTGTTAAAAGATAATATAGAAATATCTTTTTTTCTTATCTACTCTAAAGTATAAATGAAAACTTATTGCATTTCCATGTCTTTAATGGTATGATAAAATGTACGCCTAAGGTATCGTATGAATAATTGTTATAGCGGAGCTAGTCGAAATGTTAAACATTAAGGATTGGGGGTCTTGTGGTATCAGGTGGCGTACCTCTGAATCAGACAGAAAAGTATCATATCCGACATACATACATACATACATACATACATACATAGAAAAATCCATACATACGGACGGACGGACGAACGGAAAGACAGGCGGGCGGGCGGACAGACAGGCAGGAGTCATACAAGACAATTTTTCGATATGTTTGGGTTGTAATCGCATTAATTTATATATTTCTCAGGTTTCAGTAGGATTAATGTCCATTACAGTGTTTGAATTTGGATATCCAAACAATACTCCCATTTCCAATGAGATGTGATCAACTACACCTAATGTTTTAAATACCTTAAGAAACATAGTTCAAAAACTAGAAATCAATTATCAATAAACGAATAGTTATAAATGAGAAAATATTTCGATTTTCGAGAAGTTTTTGTGTTAAAATACCCAGTACAGCGCAAGTCTAGGCCTCCGTTGAATTTCCTAGAATATAGTAAGTAATATTGACGGTATGGCCAAATATTGGTAATGATTCGCAACAAACAAATGTTCGTTGGATGCGTATTACTGGAATAGATATATTAACAAATCTGAAAATGAATTAGACAAACACTGGAAGACCAATAACTGTTCTTTAATTACAGAGCTGCAATCACATCATCATCAAATTGTATACTTAACGTACATTTGCATAATGACTAAGCATAATAATTGTAATATTTTGTATGTTAGTTTGAGACCGGTATAGAGGACGATTATTTCCGGTTCAAGACTTACATAAATGCATCTTATATATTATCAATGAAGTAATACGACAGTACGGACGAGTGAATTGACAATCTGACCCTTTATAAAGACACCAAATATTACATTAATATCATCAAATACTCTGAACATAAAACAAATTCGCAGATATAAACTATAATTAATCACAATTAATCATGATTTATCATGATATGTACATATATGTCAAGTATATTCTATAATAACAAAATAAGTATAGTTGATATCAATTCATACCTCAATCTGCATTTAAGAAATTATCTATTGTAACAGGTGATCGGGCACATTATTTGTCGATATACATACTCTTGCACTGAAGATCCAGATCAAAGTAGACCACCTCCAATACGTCATAATTCCTCGATCTATATACGGAAGTCATTCTTCTACCATGATCGACTCCAGTTTCGATTTCCTAGTAATTTACATACGTCCGTACGAAACTGAAAAACAGTCATATTAAATCACAAGGACTATTGAAAATAATATTCCTACACTTTAAAATGGTGTCAAGCGAACATTTAGATATGTGTGGGAAAAAGAACTTTCAAATATTTTCATTCTGTAAAGTTTGAACAGAAAGCCATTTTGCAAGAAAAGAAAAAGAAAAATATTTTATAAAAGTATTTAGTCCTAAACTTAATAGTCTTTCCTGAAATCACCAAAGCATGATATTATCTCCCGTGTCAATATGACGTCACTATTAAAGGTATTCATGAAGTCACAATCCGTATCTATTTACATCTGTAAAACATCTGAAGAAGAAATGAAAACGCTTATGTTTTACATCATTTTATTTGTTATGTCTTAGGTTTATCAAGTACAAGACATTTACTATACTATTGAAGTAATGTCACAGCTGAGAGCACCAGTAGAAGGGCGGAGTACAGATCTATTACAGTTACCAATAGTCCATATTCTATAAACTATATATATCATAGTAAATATATGGTATAATCTGTATGTTTTGTTACACATCTCTTTTAATTGCGAAGCAGTTAATAATATTGGCACATTTAAGTTACTTTAAGAATAAAAAATATGTTGTCCTTAAATCTCAGTATACACTTCATCATTATGTTGTTTCTTCAATAGTGTAGCGTGGAGCCCGAGTCTGGATATGTGAAGAATAATATATCATTATGCCACCGCCAACGAAATCAAGAAAGTATGCCCAGCGCCAGTGGATTTGATCTTGGCAATGATTGCACACCATAATTATTTGCTGAACACGTCAACACTGTTGTTATTTAGATATGTTTTTATGTCTTTTGTGCTATAAGTTCGAGGTAATATCAAAAGCCTGAAGGAAAATACTTTGTTTACAATTATTCTCATCAACAATCAGCAATAAGATTCACGAAAAAAAGATAAATAAAAAAAAAAAAAAAAAAAACCCACAAAAAAGCACAAACAAACAAAAGTGATCTCTATCTGAAATAATCCCCTTATTTTCTGTGTATGTTTCACACGTTTTTGTGTACACAGGTTCTTATCACTTTTAATAATTTGTGTCAAGTCCCTGTGTTACTATCTATGTGTTTCGTTTTAGCACTTGTTCCACAATTTACCAATTACTAGATTTGCTTTTTAAGAGGATGAAAAAGTGTCTATTCATATCCAAACCTTGTTTTGAAATAGTCATGTTTTATCCATTACAGCGAATCGGACACGAAGTTTTCTATACCTTTATGTGTGTACTTCTGACCATGTTTTTCGGGTTTGTGCCGTCGCTTGGAAACAGAGCCAAACAAGCCTTGTCGATCACATTTCCTAAGTTCAAGGAACGGAGAACTAAGTAAGTAATATCGATAATTAAATGTTAGTTGTCCGAAGGACCAGGGAGCTTATACAATAATACGCTGTCCATTATCCGTTTACTCTTTTAGCAACAAATGCTACTAGTCATGAACGAATGGGCGAAGTTTGACCAAAATAGTTAGAAGTGTCCTTAGGGGAAGGGAAACAAGTTAAGCAGGGCTGGTTGGCCTGTCTCCTTTTGTCACAAGGGCGGAGTTCAGCAGGTAGAAGAGCGGAGTCGCTTTAAAAAACTTATTCTACTGACCATTTTTTTGCTGAAATATGGAATTATTTAGTGTGATAGCTCTTTGAGTTCTTTTTGGTTATTTTGGATTAAAATAAAAGTGAGTCTTGCTGTAACCAAGCATATTAATTTGTAAAATTCACCGGTTTTGGTCGTTGGTCTTTGATAGTCTTCAAAATGGAAGATATTGTTCGTTTAGGTCTTTCACGGTATCCTCACTGCGGAACTGTTCCTTGTCAGGCTTGACGGAGATTCTTGTGGAAGCCCTCTGGATCCCAGAAGAGGGACAAAGCCAATTTCGCCGAGCGGACAAAAGCAATGGAAATGTTCAGCTATGGACTCGAGTTATCCATGGTGCTAACCAAGGAGCTGTCCCGAGATGACTTCTACATGGAAAGGAAATTTTGTCACCAGTTCGAAGAGAAGCACATGGTGCTGTTTCCACTTTGTATCCAGCGTCAGATCAATCATTGGTACCCGGTGCCTCAGTAGGTTGGTACAAATATAAATGATTGCAAAACAATTGCAAAATGGTCACATTTGGAACGGAAGAAAGGAGTCCTCTTCTTCATGTATAAGTACAAGACTCCCGACGGAGTGTAAGTATGCGCTGGCGCATGACAAGTATGGTTAGAAACATCCTGACAGTATTTATAGTTTTAAGAATGATGATGTCCGAGAATGTCCCATTGAAGATCCAATGTACCTCAACTTTAGTACATGCTCCGGTTTTAATATTACCTTTTTCTTCATTACAGATTCGTAGCACCATCCATGAATGAGAGGAGATCATAGTATAGTGACGTCATTCATTTATGCGATCTCGGCACATTGGTTACATAATCGAACTTTTTAGGGTCTTCCGATAGAAATCATCCTGAACACTGATGTTTGTTGAACTTGTGATGTTTGTCAGTGCATCTTGTGGTCTGATAAAGAAATATACGGATTTTATTGTTGTCATTGAATACTGTAATAGTGCCACCAGTAGTGGTCAAATGTATTGGTGTAGTTGATTGTTTTGGTCATCAGTTGTAAACATAACTTGCACATGGACGATATATGTAGATATCTTACATTCTATCTTTATTTTGTCTTGATTAAGGCTGTTTGAATCAGGTTTGGAAGAAAAGCACATTTCCCTTTTGTTTTGTCACATAGTAAAATGATTGCGTCACTGTTAACCTTATGATTATACATTTCTAACACAAATCAATAAGCAATAATGATATCAATAACCCAATCATCAAATCTAAGGACAGACTAATGATTATTCCATGTTTTTCTACAAATTGCTCGATTTCAGCCCAGTAACTTTCAAAAATGATGGTGGGTAAATTGAGAGCTATTGCCACAGATATCGCGGTGACTCTGTGTTTTTAACAGCGGAAAGAATAAGAAGATAAATGAACTAGCACTAAACCTAATCCAAGCAAATTCACTTGTAACTATGAATTTGAAAGTCATGTTTTATTTTCACAAACTCATAGAAAAAATTGATTTGAATATCATTTTAACAAAACCATGTACTTTAAAATATACATTTTCGTTGATGTAAAATTTCGTGGTTTTACAGAAATAATATACAAGTCTTTGTGAATTTACAAGATAATTCCACTAGCACCTATATTTATCTCCGTTGTCACCCGTAATCACTGACATCGACATGAAAATAGTAATCCCACAAAAAAAACTATTCTGTAGTAGGCGAGCAGGCTGTGTACGAGTGAAAATCACTATAGTAAAGGTTGTAAGTATTTACCAGAAATCTCATACAAAATTTAAGATATCCGTGTACTTAAACCTAATGGAATACGTGTATTATCGTTTGTGTCGATGGTTAAGAGACACTTTAGACACTTTAATAAAAGTCCAATGTTACAACTTTTGTAAGTTTTTCATGCAGTCCCTGTTCGAGTTATTTTATTTCGACCGATTACTATTCAACCATCATGTAAACTCTTCAACCATCATGCAACTCTTCAACCATCATGTAAACTATTCAACCATCATGTAACCTCTTCAACCATGATGTAAACACTTCAACCATCATGTAAACTCTTCAACCATCATATAAACTCTTCAGCCTTGATGTAAACTCTTCAACCTTCTGGAAAATTCTTCAACCTTCATGAAAACTCTTCAACCATTTCAGATTCTTATTATTATTTATTCATTCATTCGAATAGTGGCACGGTTCAGAATATATATATATATATATATACTTTACGTTGTTCTCTATAAATCTAACTCAAATATATAGTATATGTAAAGTTTTACGTCATCGATTCCTTTATGCACATAATCTGATTGCATTCTTCAAATAAAATATCGAAATAATTGTACATCTCGGAAGATATCTTATCCCAAGAACTCTTTGAAATATTACTGTTTTTATCTTTATCTATTAGTGTTGTATTTTAAGCGTTTGTTCACTTGACACAGTGTTATTTATAACAGCAAGCAGATAACAACTTTATATATAGTTCAATGATACAACCAGGAAGTTTAGCAACCAAGGAGAAGAAAAAGCTGGCCGGAACATACAGGGTAAGCTTTATTTATTTGTAAAATAGAACAAACAATCGTGAAATATCCATAGTATATTATACTGCTGCTAACAGTTTTTAGTTAAAAATATGGTAATAATTTCAAACAGTGTTGTTATACATAGGTCTACTTTCGGTTTGCATTACTGCAACACTGTCATTTCTGGTCGAGCAAACCGAAGGTTTGTTATCGATCATGTTACCTCACACTGAAGGCTTATTTATGGGGCAGTTTTTAAACGGTTCAGCGTACAATCTGCTGGTTCCCTGATATATTGGTATAGGGTACATTATATACAAAGTCTTGACTGTCCTCCCATATTAATTTTAATGTTCGTGATTTTCAAGTACACTATACACAAATTATCGCCAATTATTACACAGTACATGTATATACGGTGGTGATTATTCCAATGCTATTCTTTATTATGATATATTCGATCTCTTTGTTGGTGTACATTTCGTTACAAGATTCCTGGTATAGATTTAAATTTACTTCCTTTTTCAGTCATATCATCCAACATGACGGAAGATGTGAAATCAATAGGGAAAAGAAAAAAACATGATATTATAAGGTATGATATTTTAAACTAAATCGCCACACACATTGTAATACCTTTGTACACAAAGATAATTACAGTGCAAATTTATCTATCAAAATGAGGATAGACAGATAACTTAATTAATGTGTCTCCATTACATAGTTAGACGTGATTATGTATATGTCATTTATTATTTCATGTATCAAAGGATTATTTTACATCTATATAAAGACAAACATTTATAGAGAATATGTGGTTAGTGTCTATACATATAAGCTGTATTTTGGCGAGTGTGAAGAAAGACAGTATTAGCCGGTTACTTTTGTTTTTTCTGCCCCGAGCCAAAATACAACTTGTGTTTTAAGACACTTACTGTGTACTATTTTTATCCTAAATCACTTAGAGCAAATTCAGACTATCGAGTTTTTAACCGTTTGTTTTGTCTATAAAAGCTGTGTATACCCGACGTCGACGGTACGACGAATTGTGCCTGATGACGCGAGTCAGAATAATTACTCCTAGGAAATTACAGTTTTACACTTCGATGAATATATAAAGAAAATAGACTTGTTTGTTTCAACAAATAAAATCACTGACTTCAACAATTATCTGTGTTTCTAAAAGTGACATTTAAAAAGCATATGCTGAAATACAACCGTCGTCGTATTTTTCAAGCATGCACAAATACACGATTACTTCCACATTTAATCTAGTTTTGATTTACCTGTAAATAACGTAGTGCTGTGAGTCGTTAATAGTGACCATTGTTATTTTAGAAATCTTACCGACGTCAGAACGAGTCTACACAAGCACGTGGAATCTCTTGGTGGACAAACGTCCAATTGCTGCCAACCTGGTAAACATAGAGAATCTGAAAAACAGCTTGATCAAATTCTGCACCTATGTTCTGATATCACGACACTGTGTACATTTCTAGAGAGTTTGTCACCAGTGGACAGAGAAAACATAAACGGGTAGTTATTTGATCATATTCAACCTTCACATTGGCAGGAAATGAAGTTTCCAAGGTTACAGTGGTAGCCATTGGCGTCCGCGATGTTTGTAGTAATCTGCAAGGCACATTTAAAATTCTCGTTCAAATAGTGATATGGTCCAAAATATACACAAATATTGAATTAATTGGATCCCCATTCGGTTTTTTACATTTACTTCGATTTATCTTGTTTTCCATCAGTCGCCTCATAGATTTCATAATTAAAGCCTTTTAGCATCATTATTGTTGATTTAGAATAATAAAACAGCTGAATGACGCAGTTATTTTACTATCATTATTATTTCTCTTAGTATCTAACCCTATGTTTGTATTGAAGGTGATTGTTTTCTTGTGCCCGTTTTGTGAATCTTTATCAAGAAAGTGACAAAGTTGATAAATATTCTGATGACAATATCACAACTCGAACTCTTAATTTACAACCTAATCTGATGTTCTGTACTGCTATTAGGGTACTGATACAATAGCCGAATAGCAACGAGTTGTCATAACTGACCTTAGTCTTAATATAGTAACACGGAATGTAAGGAACTAGCATAGTTGAATGATCAATAGATCTTAATCATGCATGAAATGGACATCCAGGATAATTTATTCCGCAAAGTTAAACTAAGCTTCTACGTTACAGTACAAGTGTTTGGGTATTGCAATGACTGATATTTAATAAAGGTTTTTTTCTACTTGTTGTAAATTGTTTTCTATCAGTGACCCGGAAGTAAATGGTGCATTGAAATGGCTCCACTGGCTTGACCGGAATATAACTCCCGTCCTAGAGAAATCAATGCCACCTGATCCAAAATTTACAGAATCATCTCAATCTACACTGAGTCCAATTGAGATCGCGAAAAGCATATGGGAACGTAATCAGAGGTAAGAAAAGAAGCAAACAGAACCTATACTTGTAAATATATTTTTTTATATACAAAGTTTCATAAAATATGTTAAATAATCGAAAGCAAACATATATAAATAAATATGTGAGTTTTAAAAGTCAAGCATGTTTTAAACTAGGTAAGAATGCTTAATATCTACAACATTTTCTCTTCTTTAAAGACTAACCAACAAAATCGTTATTTTGACAAGAGTTTGAACTTTCTCGTATTTTATTCTATTCCACACTTGTATACGTGTGTCTAGGCGATTTTGGTATGATGGATGATGCATTTTTCGTGGTAAGAAAGTTTGGAATGAGTAAGAAGTCTCACGTTCATAGTTTAGTTCATAGATGATTGTATTGTTGACGGCGGAAATTATACTATTTGATATAAATATATATTAATTGTATTGGTCTGTACATGAATATATATAAAATGTATTGATCTGAACAATAATATCTATTAATTGTATGTATCTGTATAAAAATATCTATATATCTATAAAATGTATTGATCTTGACAAGAGTATCTATTAAAGGTTTCCATCTGTACAAGATGATCTATTAGATATATTGATCTAGACAAGAATATATATCAAATGTATTTATCTGTACAATAATATCTATAAAATGTATTGATATGTATTAGTATATATACATTGTATTGATCTGTACAAGAATATCTGTAACATATATTTATCTGCACAAGCATGCATACTATTAGGTTTCTGATTTATATATGGGTTTTCTTAGTTTGATAGAATGTTATTTTATTTCTGAGAATAATACGGGAACGTCAGGATCTACTGGTAATAAACAACAATCATGCACGCGAAATAGCAGATTTAGAATTTATCATAAAGAAGTCTGAAGAGATGGGAAAGGTGCGAATGAAGATCTCAAATCTGAGAACACGATGCAGTGATATGAAAGGCGAAATTGAGAGTTTAAAGAATTACCTCACAAAAACCACAGAGGAAGTTGAGAGTTTAAAGAAATCTCTCACAAAATCTGCAGCGGAAAATCAGAGTTTAAAGAACTCTCTCAATTGGATTAATAGGTGAGAATGACGCCAGACATCTCATGTTTCATTAGAGTTATCTTATATTAAGCAATACATCTATTGTATTCAAATCCGTATGATATATTCTGATATTGAAACTAGCTCCCTACATTTGTTTTGAAAATATTTCACATGGAACATTAATAAAAAAAATGTGTATTCAGCTGATGTAGAAATAAGAAACATTTTAACCATGCCTTTTTAAACATAATTTTGTTCTTATTATCTAGATATATATGTTCACTGTGTGTTTTACCGGTTGATGGCCCTAATGACCTTTTATGTTTTGAAATGCCATTAAGAATGCAATAATAATACTAATGATAAGACATATATGCTTATTAAAATCTGCCTTTGACGCATTTTTCTATTAGAATGAGCTGCATTGCTGGAAAACAACTGACAGACAATAACCCCAAGGTCACAGATCTGACTGACCCAAATAGACCACAGAAATTGGCAGACAAGTTTTCGGAACTTTACGATAACCAGTGGACCAACGCAATAGAGTACTTGCAAACATCCAAACAGATGTCAGAGGAACTGGCAATACAACACTTGTCTACTCTAGCAAAGGTCAACAATTTATGATATTTATGATTTCATTGTCTTACTTCTGTGGTAGTGTAATATATATCATCATATTTTACATAGAATTAATAATCTACATTCTGCTTGGTACTGTATTTTTGTGTCAATGCAATTGGACACAATTGGCAACAAAACGTAGTCAAAATGTTAACATCTCTTTATCTTATTTGTTTACTAATTTGCAGTTAAATGTAGCGGCATAGTCTCACATGCATGCTATATGTATTGTATACAGACTCGGCGAGTACAGAGAAAAATAGAAATCTACTACAATATATACGACATTAAGTCCTCGTTAATGAATTTGATTAGTGCAATAGCGAGATATGTGCATAGTTTAACAACTTTGCGCAAACGGTAACTACACCAGTCGCATAGGCTATATATATATATATAAATATTTTTGGGCTGTGACAATTAAGATCATATACAAACGGCTACTTGAAATCATTTGCAATTTGATAGTATTGAAGTACATGTCATATATTATACATTATTTCTGATATAATCTCTAACCAAACAGGAGTGTTTCACCTTCTGTTCTAAGAAAGCCTGCAGCCAGCTACAGCATTTACAGAAAATAGTCTTCATGGCTACTGGTGAAGGTGTCTCGTCTCAACCTGATGAAACCAAGGTAAACCACGTTAAACCTTTTTCAGATGTCCATACAACACATTTTAAAATTTGTATGAGAAAAGAAAGATCGAAAACAAACTAAAATTGAGAATTTGGTAATACTCTTTATCATCGGTCAGTCTATAGCTGGTTATCTGATAGAAGTTCTTCTGTGACGTTAGCCAGTTAATACTTTAATTTCGATAGATGTCCGTATCAAAATGCTAAGTCCTATGAGCGTATTTAAAATTACAAAATTGTAGTGAAAGCACGCTTGATGAAAACTTAACCGTAATTGTTTTCGTAAATGAACCAATATATTTTTACAGTACCCGTGAGTATGATTATCATGTAAGTTCAAGTAATCAATTAAAATATGGGTGAGATATTTTATGTGATATTTTTTAATCAAGCTAGGAAAATATGGATTGCATAGTGTTAAATGACAAATGATTACAACGTAAATATGTTAATACATTTTTATTTCATGAAAGGCGTGGAATCAGTTTAATGTTTCACATTAAAAGGGAGCATTTTCCATATTCTTCCCACTTTGGTCTTTTCATAGATTTCCTTCAAGAAATAAGAAAATATATATCAATATTTCATAGAAATATCAAAATGTATCTAGCCAGCAAACAAAATTCGTGATATAATTGATAATTCGATATTAATATAGTGCAGTATTGAGATTCACGTGATAATAATTTTTTGGTGGTTTAACAGTAATGCTTTGTATTATTGCATGTTGCTAATTTAGAGATTTTTAAATTCTTTGCGAGATATTAAAAGATAACAGTCATTTATTTCAGACAAAATTTGCAGCTGAACTGAAAACACTGAAAGATACACGGAAAGAATGTGCTTATCTTGCTGAACAATATCTAATTAAGGTATTTTGTTTCTTTTTACATAATTTGTAATGTAGCAATGTTTTCCTATTTTCTATATAAAACACCTTTGAATCAGCTTTTCAGTTACCCTGCCTAGTCATATAACAACCTTTGTCGACCTCAAAACCCAAGTTTGATAATTATTCAAGAAAACATAAACGATGGTTATTTGCTATCTTAAAGGGTGCTATTCATTTTTCAATCACCACATTTTTTCTATATTTTTTCCGGTTTGCTTTCAGTATGCCACTTGCTTGCATAGAATCTGTTGTTGGGAGTGATACGATACCACATCTATTGATTGATTTCAACGAACATTTGATAATTGATAAATAAAACGCTGATATTTGTTTGGAATTTGCTCATATCGCATGTTTAGAAACTTGGTAATCAATGTTAAATGTACGGCATGATAATGATTTGAGGTACTGTTAACGTATCATTCTCTTTCTAGGATCTGTTACCTGTCCTCTTAAAACCCACTGGTGGCGAACATCAGGACGCTATTATGACAGAGTATGTATCCGAGTGCATCGCGTTGTGTTGGACTATGGTGGTACAAGACCCACCGGTGGAGCTCTACTGGCCTCAAAGCGAAAAAGGAAGCACCATAGATAGGGATAAGTTTAATCTGTACACAAAATCTGGAACTCGACTAAACCACGTTGTGTGGCCGGCTGTACTATTACACAACCTTGGCCCTCTTCTCAAAAAAGGGGTCGTTCAGGCTCTCTAACATTTTATCAACAGACCGTATATTCATTTTGACTTCCTTTTCTGTTATTTAATGATCAGCTTGTTATTGGTTGTAAATGCTATGAAGTTAGAAAAAAATTAACAAAAGATACACAAGCGAAAAGTACAAACTTAGAGTTAGAATCAGTAGAGCAAACTAGTTAATACAACTTCATCACACATCTGTTTCGTCTTTCACGGTGAGTTTACCAGCCCAATAATTCAATATCTTTTCATATATCTAATGAATAACGGCAACTACATGTGTATCTTTTGAACCATGCCACAATACGTCATTGCATTTTGTTCATTGTCAAAGCATATTAATGTAACCTTATTCATTTTGACGCAATCAAATTTGAATGCAATATAGAAACAATTACGAACAACATCTTTATTATGAATAACAGCAATATCACCGCTAAAATTCGTACATTTTTATAATGTTCCTTTATATAAGTATTGTACAGAATTAAAATTTTCGATTCGAATATTTCCTGCATTAAAAGTGACACTGACGGCTTTCCTTTTCCTACATATAGATGGAAACAAACAATTTGTTGATATGCTTTTATACATCATGAATACTGCCTCCCATTAAAAAAGCTTTTAGTTGTAATGACCTCGCCAATATATACATAGAATTAGTTACAGTCCGCATCATAATCGGTATAGCTAGTGTTGAAGTGTATAGTTGTAAATATATCAATCTGTTTGGTACATCTTAGTCCGTTCGGGGCACTGACATATTACGTTCGGTTACTATCGCGATCTAATATACTTTCGCTACCTAGACGCCTATTCATAGCTTATTTTTCTAAATTAATGTAATATACGAATCCGAATCCTATTCTTTATCAAGAAGAATGTTTTCTAATATCAATAAGCCATGCCTTTTATCCCGATAGATTTCAAATTCATGATAATGGGAAAATGTACAACATCAGTTTATTGCCTGCTATAATGAAGAACGCCATATTTGTTTTCCATTTGGATCTTTCTTACATTACTGTATATATGCATGTAATTAGACCCTACAAGTAAAATCTAGAGAATTGATAGTTTATTAAGATCTAAAACGTGTTTTGCGAGTGGTTTTCAGTGTTATTAGTACTCTTCTGTACAATTAGTTGTATTAGTTGTAACTTAAGCTTAGTTGTACTTATCTGATATTAACCGGAATTCACCAATAATTGCCAATAATCTCCAACAGATTCAGTTGTTGTCCCGAGGGGTATCTGAGTTCAGTAATGTCTGTTTTGTTGTATCATTCTAAGTTGAATTTCTTACATAACTTGGTGTTGTTAATAATCTTCTTTACTAGATCAGAGAATATCAAGTGTACCGAAAGCCAAGACCAGACGAACCCGACAAACGTTAGATTTACCAATAAATTGAGTAATTAGCGGCGTTAAAATGTTAATATACTTGTATACATAATGGATACTTCCTGCCATTGAAAAAGCTTTAGGTGGTATTGTTATCAGTTTGAAGGTAATGTTTCCTTCTATAATTGTCTATTGTCCCCCACCCCATACCCTTGCTTCATTTTTCTTTCGGTAAGCTAAAAATGTACACGAGTTTGGAATATCAACTCTTCCCTAATTTTCCTTTGGAATCAAGAACCACTAGGAGCAATATTATATCCAGGATCAATGACAACATTATCCAGGTTATATACTAATGTGTATTAAGTGTAATTGTTGTAATCAGTCAGAAAATGCCATTGCCAAGGGTCGAGGACAAATCCTTGGCTAATGAAATTACAACACATTATGTATTTATGTACTCATTCGCAAAGTAATAATAATAATTACTTTTTCAAACAATGATACCAATTTTGAAACACTTTCCTTTAAACCACAAACGATGCCCCACTCAAATTAATTTTTAATAAAAATTCACAGTTCAATGCTATAGATATATATAACAGCTAAGTAATCTCTATTTTTATCATCGCTTCGATTAGCATTGCGTGCTGAACAATTATGTTTGAAATAAAACATATCTAATTATCCTTGCTTTTCTTTGTGTATTGTACAAACAACAAATGAACTGCAGCTTTTGATACAACTTAAGCCTTTCGATAGAGTAGAGCCAAACAACACAATAAACTGTATCATACAACTGTTTTGTCTTTCTAGGTCTAATCATTGATGCTAAGGGCCTGAATAGTGAAGCCTTTGGGCGACCAGTGAAAATCCAAAATAAAAATCTATACTAAGAGGTGCACTAGCCCTATGGATAGATTTCGGAATTTCTATATATCTGATGACTTAAGAACAACGTCAGATGCATGTGTTTATTATGAACTGGTTCGCTATTCGAATTAAAACGTGGCATGCAGGTTACGGAGCACGTTGAGGACTAAAATTCAACTAACGGTGTCCGCCACTTGCAATCTCGAAAAGTGTGCAAACGACACATAATTCCTTCAAACCAGAGTAAACGTAGGTAACTTGCTTGTGTCATACCCTGGGAAGAGTGTTCCATGCTTACTAAAGCGAGCCAGGTTTAAAGTTCTTTCCACGTACCACCACAAAACAGGTCTATATATATATATATATATATATATATTAACGTTCCGCTTAATGCTTGATAATCGAGTTAAATCACCTTGTATCATAGCACTTGATTGGGTTCATTACACCATGTCCTGGAAAGTTTTGACATTTCCTTGTGATAATATAGAAATATCTTTGATTTGTTTAAAATTCATGGATACTGTCCTTACGTGGTGTTAGTTGGTGTGATGGTGACATATAAAACATCTAATCACGAACTACTTCTGAAGATTTTGTTTGATTGGAGTTTTTGATCATATTCAATATAGACTCACGCCAAATGAACGACGTGGTTATTTGTATCGCCGGTTACACAAGGATCAAGAAACTGAGTGTATGCATTGGTCATACCAAGGCGATGTCTAGTGAACCTGCAACATTACTATTACCCTTTGTCAAACATTTTTGTGTATAGAGCACAACTTTGCTCTTATCTAAGCTAGTGCAATGGAACTTGGTGTATACATTCGTCATATACAGTGGATGAACCGCATATCACATTCATTTCCCGAACCCCCTTGATTACAGAATTATTGCCATTTGGTAGCTTTTTGGGTCCAATAAAGTTCTTTTCGAGGAACATTAATCAGTTTCACTGAAGCTCTTGTTTCTATAGAAGTCACTTTTATGCTCGAATCCAGTAGAGGGTATTGTGATTATGTCGTTGTGAAATTGTTTCTGTTGGCATCGTACACATCAACCTCTCTACTTTTGCATGGTCACACCTGAAAGAAAATATACGGTTATATTATATATCGTAATATAAATGAGGTGGTCGATATTCAACACCCATGCTTTGTCTTTTAATGATAAATATAAGGATTGACGTCGTACTTTGTCTGGTTGGTTGTTCGGATGGAGTAAGCCCTTAACTCCGACCATGCTACACCAATATTGGTCTGACGTGAACGTTCTTCATGAAATGTTTGATGCATGGCACACGAAGCTGAAATACAGAAATGCAGGACGTCATTTTGTATAAATGTGAATATAATGTCATTGATAATGAAATGCTTTATACAACAGCAATACTATTTCGTGAAAATTTAGAATGCACGTTCATGTACACAGAAACCTGCAAATTCAACACGATATTAGCGAATATGAAGCAACAGTGTATTCTGGTATGCTTACAAGATTTTAAGTGAATGTGAACTGTTAACGAGTGTACAGGTGAATATAAACTGAGTGTACCTTGGTCAGCTAACAAGAATATCGGTGACTATAAAACCAGCAGTGTACCCTGGTGTGACAACCAGACTATTGGTTAAAATTACCGAGCTTTACCTAGTCTGTGTACAGGAGTGTTGGTGAGTATGAAACTGTAGTGTAACCATTTTTGTTTACATGGTTGTTTGGCGTTTTTGAATTACAGAAAAAAATATTTGGTTAAAATGACAACCCTTTATCAGCGCGGGTACATAATAACAGATTGTGACAAATTTGCGGGGCCCTGTGTATACGTGCGCATGTGCAGAGGCCGGAAAATAACGTTTCATACATGTGAAACTGTTCTGTATTGTTTTTTTCCCAGTTAGGTAACATTTATTCAAATTGACTTGAAATACACAAGGAAAATTGACAAATGTACACGCAAAGCATCACGAAACACAACGCCACTTATGCTGAATTGAGACACGTGAATGTACGTGAGCATGCAATCGTGTCTGTACTTAGAAAACGTGACTTCATAAGTGATTTTGTCGATAGGCATTCTTGTGTAATACCATTAATGCTACACTAGTGGAAACTGTCAAGAGATCAGGGTTTCCACAGTATGTTCTAATACAAATAGTAACAAACGATTCAAATAAGTGACGAAGAAAGACAGAAAGCCCCCATATGTCGACATTATTACTGGAAACAAGCCATGTATGATTAAATACTAATAATATTTTCTTAGTGGTCAAATTGATTTCGGTGAAGATTGTGTTGAATTATTCAAAATATCAGTTGCATTTATCTTGAACCGTTCTCATGAAATGAATTGTGCCAAATTTAATTATATCAAAATATTCCGCTGGTTTATGGCACCACTATCGGCGGATATTCTTGAACTTTAGACTAGGTGGTAAGTGTTAGTTATAAATTATAAACACGTGTTTCACTTTAAGCATGTACTATTTCAGGAAAAGGCTCTTAGGTCTGAATGAGTAAGGATACTTCACGTATCCGTCATTGTGTGCACGGTGCACTCATTGTATAGGTACAACATATAGATATTCATTCCCTCCCTTCCTTCCCTCTTGTTATCAGACCACGAACAACGAAAATCAATCCGGTCGGGAATTTCACAAAACTGCGTCCATGTCTGTGTTAGTCTGTGCGAAGGTTTGCCGTATGAATCACGTTTGTTGATTTGTTTTCCAAATATAAGCACGCGTCCACCTAAACCTACTTACTATGTTATTGTAATTACAATTGTCATCTATATCTTAAATGACTGTCATGACGGTGGTCCATTTTCAAAGCATTGTGTTTGGTAATCTATACAATACTAAAAACAGGAAAAATAAAAAAAAAAAAAAAAAAAAAAACAACCTTAATTATAATTGCTGATTTATTGTTCGTGTTTAATTACTTACAATGATTACATAACCTCTGTTTCAATTTTTTTAGTAAGACATGTGGCTTTTCACATATATGTACCCTCGTGATCACGCCCCAGGGAAGGTATACAATACAACTGTATTTCAAATAGAATTCACGAGGAACCTTATCAGTAAACAATTAGACAATTTGTGAAGATACAAAATGTAAAATACAAACATTTAGAAATCATTCCAATCTGAAGCTTCTCATTTCACTTCCATATTTAACCACAAGAGACAACCAAGCACAAAACTTAAAAGTCTTCTATTGGTTGCTACTCACCTGGGACAGTCAGATTTACAATTTTTAATGACGTAGAAATTGGTACATTTCTGACTAAATGTAAGTTTTGATGGAGTAGAAATTGGTACATTTCTGACTTAATGTAACTTTTAATGGAGTAGAAATTGGTACCTTTCTGACGAAATATAACTTTTGATGAAGTAGATATGGGTGCATTTCTGACTAAATGTAACTTTTAATGAAGTAGTAATTTCAGTGCTGAAACAACTGCCCAACTACTGATTAGTTTATGTGCAGACGTTGCTTGTAGGGACGGATCAATTCCTTGGTAAAACTAAAATGGGCTATCTGTTAAAGGCTGGTAAAGATCAAATGTGTTTCTTGATAGAGAGAGACTGACCCAAACCTTTGGAAACTCATGTGGGGTATCAGGTAGAAGCTGGGTCAATCCTTGGAAAGCCCATCTGGGTTCACATCGCACGAATGAATAAAATATTTCTCAATATGATCACTATGTCGACAGAAAAAATGTTATATCACATCAAAGATTCTTTCTATCACTAAAATTATATATATATAATATATTAAATATAGTTAATGACGATACGCAAGTGATAATATAAAGAAAATTGTTTAAAAAACCACACAAGAAAAAGTTAAGTTAGCATTTTGCATAACGTTTTCACAGCTTAGCAGCACTGAGGAGCAGCTAAGCTGTGAAAACGTTACGCAAAATGCAAACTTAACTTTTTCTTGTGTGTTTTCTAAACAATTTTCTTTATATGTATATATATATATAGAAATAATGTTTTCATTGATGTTCTCCAATGTAACGTAACTCTGAGCGGGATTGTTGACATTCACACGAGAAGACAGACTACAGTATTCACAAGATTTATTTACAGTTTTCCTACAATAATATTTCCGGACATTTATTTACAAACATGATCCTCACATTGTTAGTCATATCACCACATACGCATTTCACTCTCATGCATACATAATTACATACTCATAGATGACTACCAAACTACGACAACACTAAGTAACCTAAAAGTCACTGTCAGGCCACCGTAGAGTATTCCACAACGTCGCTGTCGTCCGACGTCAACCAATTGTTCCAGATATAAGTAACTGTCAAAGCCAAGCAATATTCCCAGAATCCTTGAGTACACCTGGTCGTAAGAACATAGACCACACATCCAAAGCCAAGTAACAGGTATCAACAGATCATCACAATCGACCCCAGATAAGACATCATGTGGAACTGTGTTCCCACGTCGGCGATGACGTTCCCAGGACGCTGACGTCATACATCTCTATACAAATAATTGACGTCGTCGATTCATATCACGAGACAAATGGATACATCATATACCATACAGTATATCCAACCCTTCCATATTACTAAGTTCAAGGCACATATACGCTGGGTATTTGGTACTGACCAATACTCGACCCCGCCTCAGGGCTTCCATACACACAACGAGTGGGTTTTCAGTGTCAGCTATCGCTACGGTGTTGGCCCAACAAGCTACAACAATATAGGAATTGTAATTTACCCTTATTGTATAATAAACTATTTTAATATTACTTATTATTACCAACCACACATTAAATACATATACAACTCTAGTGAAATTCGTTAACATACACGCTTTTACTAAACAAAGAACTGCACGAGCGCCAGTAGTACCCGGTCACCCATAACAATAGCGGTGGCATTTAACGACCCTTTCAAACTCAAAATCTCATTCAAACAGACAAAAACCTATCCAAATACTAGTGATAAGGTTATGAGGTGATATTTGGATGAATCACATTAAAAATACTCACCCCAATCTGTATTTTAGGCGTCGTAGTGAGCCACGTCTTTCCACCCGCTAAGCGTGCTTATTTACCTGTATTATTCTCACCTGTCGCACCTGCGCACGTACGCCCCGTACAGCTCGACGGGTAAGAAAAGGCGCGCTAATTTGAAACTCTAGGGCTAACATAAATCATTTATCGGCATAAAATAATGATTTACTATATATACATAGAAACGGCATGTGACATCCAATAATATCACACTGGCATTCTTTTTAGTTCTAGATGCTGCGTTATAACAAAATCTTACTTTTTTGAAGAGACACATCCATGTACTTTAATATTTGGAGGGGGGCGATTTTACATGTTCTGATGGAGAATATTTATCATTTTTATTGGCTAACAGGACGAATGGACTCTTCAGACATCATCTAACAACAAAAAGCAATATCTCATTACTGACAGACATCCACGGTCCTTCATATCTTTACTGATTACAAACACAAAATTTTATCATAGATACTTGCATGGGTTTGATGATTTATCATTGAATGTGTTTTTTGGGAATTGAAATAACTGAATAGTAACAAACCTCATTCTTAACAACATATTCACGTGTATATTTCTTTACAAAATAATCTGTTTCCACGTGTTGACGCTTTGTGTTGGTCATACAAAACTCTTAATTCAATTGATGCATTTCTAATGACATGGCTAAAAGGGATTCGTACCCAACTGTTAATCAAATTTACTCTATGTGACAACAGGTCTTATGTGAATAGTATTTTAATTTACATAATTTAAATTACAATTACAAACCGTTGATAACCAAAGGTTATTTAGTTCTCCTTCTGGATTGACATGGAGAGTGTCATAGAGGAAGCGTTGAGAGTCCTCCATTTTACCCCTCGTGGGACCTAAATGCACTGTTTATACGGACATTAGTCCCATTCACCTAAGGTTGTTCGCGACTAGCTTTGGTTAATCTTCTGCCAGTTTGTCAGAAGAAGGATTCTAAAGAATCTACAAAACGCCCTCTGTTCGGCCGAGTATTGTAGACCTCTATGAACCATACCATTAGTTGCTTACTTGTTTATGCAGTGTTAAGTCTGTTTCTGCAATTGCTGCTCAAGTCAAAACTTGAATAAAATCCTGTAAATCCGAGGAAAATCTCGACTTGAGGAAATCTCAAGTGGGGCCTGAGCATGTATTTGTATGTGTACTTAGCAAACATAAATTACGTCAAGAGTTATTTTCCTGATGGCGTGACGATGTAATACAACCATCATCACCGGGTAAAACTGAACAAAGGGATATGTATTTGTTTCGAGGGACTGATTGTAACATCGATGACGACAGAGTAAACCTCCATCAAGGATCTGTGTTTATTTAGACAATGACTTGTAACATTGATGTCTACCGAGTAAACCTCCATCAAGGATCTGTGTTTATATAGAGGGACTGCTTGTAACATCAAGGTCTACCGAGTGAAACTCCATCAAGGATCTGTGTTTATATAGAGGGACGGCTTGTAACATCAAGGTCTACCGAGTGAAACTCCATCAAGGATCTGTGTTTATACAGAGGGACGGCTGGTTACATTGATATCCATTACAACAGCAAAATAGCATGTCGGCACAAATTCCAATACCCGGATGTCCCTATCATCAGGGTATGGGTTTTGTCTACGTGTGTAAGATGTGTGACAATGAACTGGTCTGTATAGATTGTGTTTTAGATCGTCACTATCAACACAATCTAAGGAAACTGACTGACTATGTATTGGAGCAAAAAAGTCAAATTGAGCAATATCAGAAAAAACTTTCCGAACATGATCTTCCAAAGCTGGAGTGTGACATTAGGGAAAATGATGAAAGATTTGAAAAATGTTGCGAACAAATTAGAAAAATGATCGACGAAATAAAAATTCAGGGAAAGAAAATGAAAAACGAAATTGACAATAGTATCGAAAGGGTAGTGACTATATGTCGAGATTTAGAGAAGCTAAACGACGATATCACAAAGAAGAACAATGCCGCATTAGTAAAATACCTGAAAGAGGAGATCAGGCCAAAATTAGACAGGTGTCAACGGGCACTGTCTTCCGATGTAACGGTTGACGTAATTACAGTGGCAAACCAAGTCAAGAGTTCCTCGACTGCACCCCCAACTGTAGGAGGATTAAAGACAGCAGCCTTCAAATCCGGAACTCTCTCTTCTGGAATCCTGGACCGGATGCTTGGTTCGTTACTTATTGACGGAGATAATCCAGAATTCCGCCCTGTTCAAAAGACTTCCGTTGTTTCCAGTTTTCGATCTGACGTTGTCTACACTTCATGTCGTACAAGTTGCACTGGTGACAAGGCTTGGCTGTCGCACTGGAAAGGCAACAAAATATACCAAGTAGATAAAAAGGGAGCAATCCAAGATTTGATCGATTGTAAAGTAGAAGTTCAAACAATCACCGTCTCACCGACCACAGGAAGGGTGTGGTTCTGTGTACTGGAAGACAAAAGTATTCAAGAATGCATGTCTGATGGTAGCACAGTGACTCGTTTTAAGGTAGATTCATGCCCGTTTTCTTTGTGTTTCACGAACGAAGACATGATCGTGGTTGGAATGGTGAATGAAATAGTCCTGTATACTATAGACGGACGGAGAGTGACAGATGGAGCAGGTCGTGTCTGTAGACAGCAAGCAGTTAGTCCCCATCGCATCACTTGCTGTAGACTGTCCGGGGATGTAGCTGCTCTCGATACTGATGATATACTTTTTAGTCAATACATGACTAGTAAGGAACCAGGATCACAACCGCGCGTCATTATCATGGATAAACACATGAAATATAAATTTCGATATCATGCCATCGACGCCATGCAACCACAAACCAATGACACTCAAGAAAACAAATTCTTCCCTCAGGATGTTTGCTATGATGGAGCTGGTGATATCTTGGTGTTGGATATAGCGAGCAAGACAGTCATCCTTATTGACGGGAACAATGGACACTTCCTCAGGACACTATATATTTCAGAGGGATCGAAACCGACATCTATGAGCTTACAGGGTGACAGTACTCTCTGGGTCGGACATGGTAGCCGTGAAATGAAAATCATCAAGTTTATCAGGTAGACCACCGGACAGATTTATAGACTTAGCTCCGGTTATCTGTTATTTAACACTAGGTAACAGCAACTACTACGAAATTTTGATATTTCAGTGTCTAAGAGCTAAAGTCACTTACAGCATTTTAAAAATGACAAACAAATAATTTTAACATGATATAATCGGAATATATGTATGATACATATTTATAGAATTGTTTTTTTCTGTTTTTTTTTTAAACAACTGATAGGTTTTTCCCAAGGGAAACACGGGAGAGAAATACTTTCAATAAATTATTGATATCTTGATATTTTAATATAATTTGTATGCATCGATGGTACAGTATGGATTTATTATTTTATATACCTTTGTAATAAGTACTTCACGTAGCCAGTGGTGACCAACAAACATTCTACTTGAAGATGCCAGATGAAGTATAGAGGACGACAGTATTGTGTTTTTGTTATTTGCATATATTTATTCTTTTGTAATGAATTATTTGTTTCGTTGATTTGTATAGTTTCTATATACAATTATTAATCTGATTCTCTGTGGTGACGCGATTTGTGTTATTATGCTATCGATTCATTTGACGTTCAATTATATCCAGAAGCAGTTATCATTAGATAGATATCACCAACACAACCAACTTGAATGGCATTTTTTAAATCCAGTATTAAAAAAATTCTCCGTGGGCATTCCGAAAGTTTAGACATATACATTTGTTTCTGTTGTTATTTTTTCCTTGTCTTTGATTATTGAGATACCACTGTAATTTTACTTAATTATTGTGTCTACTCAAATGTTTACTTTTGGCGCACGATTCCTAATTCCTGATTTTCCAGTCCATGTGTTTTCAAGCGTCCGAAAGCACCGAAAGTGATACGTCACATTCATTTCATTATTGGTCTTGTTAATCTAGTTTTCTGTATTAAATTTTCAATTTAGTGTTTTCTAAAAATATGCCATACAATTGATTGTCAAACAATCTATCATTCTTATTAATTATATAGGCTTTGCCTGTTATTCAATCCACTTGACTATGATATTTTGTCAATAAAATTTAATGAAATAAAATAATAAGCAGTTCAAATGATTTTCAAAAATCGATATTTAACATATCAGTATGTAATGTAATAGAACGCAAATAAGGTCATTAGTCATTTCCCGTGTAGGCGTCCTTGGCTGATACTACATATACCAATTCTACGCGTTTGTTGTCAAGATATCAGGTTCTGTTAAACTGTAGTACATTTCATTGTAACAGTAATAACCTGCTCAAACTTTTACAAGTCACACTGTGTTTAACATAGCGTGATTTGAATATCTAGTATAATTCTCCTTTTGAAATATCAATAACTTATACAGATACAGTACACAGATAGGTTGGTTAAAGCTAAACATAATATTATAAAATTTCTCCAGCGATAATAGCACACACCCATAGACGCAAAACTTGGTATCAGCGATGCCATTTTGCTTATTTTATTTTTCTACAAACTTTTCACAAAAGAAGCACCGCAAAGGACGCATGATATGCCTGTATTTTCTGTAGCTGTAGTTATCTTTTATATCTAAAACTGTCATCTTATAGCTTTTGACCCGGATGTTAAGCTAAGATTTCACATTCTCTTTTGACTATTAGCAATTTTATTTGAATATGAAGAAAAACGCACGTGACTTTTTCTGTGTTAATGGAACCATACAGCAGAGATTTTGATGATAAATATTAAATAAAACGTCATCTAACTCCGGTTTTTTTGTTTAACGTTTTCCTTTCCTTATACATATATTCATAACTTTCAAATGGCCGTAAATCTGACATTAGGTGGAGGTAAAATAAAAAATAATAGCTAAAAAATAACTATAATACAAAAAAAAAATATAAAAATATGACATACAGTATTTTTTCTGGAGTGTAAACATGACAAAACAAAAAAGATCTATATCTTCCTTATTACATATTTATTGACAAAGAGGCATAAAACGTAGGTTACGTAGGTAACATAGGTTATCTAATGTTACGTATTTATAAAAAAGACCGTATGCCAATAATCATATAATCCAAAACCAAACAATAGAAAATTGAGTTCACAAAACGTCACAAATGTTAAATTTTTCTAAACTCTTTACAACTTCCGGTTTTAACAACATTCTTATCAACATCAAAGAACGTCTAACGATACGGGTTGGTCTAAAATATTGCATTAGGAGTTACTGGAATTACTCATCAAAGATTAAATGTTAATAAGTATATTATCCAAATTGAAATATGTTCCGAATTTTAAAGATGATAAATTGCAATAAATATGATTTTGTTTTTTCGAAATTAACGAAATGATACTTCGATAAAACAATATAAATTTCGAAGTAACGAAGTAAGATTTCGTTATAAGCAAATTAAAATAAGCATGTCAATTAAGACTATTACATTGATTGAATATTTATTGTAGTGTTTTAACCATTAGCCTACGGTTTCTATATGTGTCAGGTTGCAGTATATTGTCGCTTTCCAAAGTTAGCAAACGATGCCATCAATAAAGTATTGATAACTAATTAATAATATCTTTAAAAATAACTGTAAATAAAAGCGGAGCTATCTCATTTGTACTTATTTCTAACAGAATTGAAATCTCTAGAATTCATTTTAAACTTTATTTACTTTTCCTTTTTTAGTGAAAGACAATAGCCATTATATCAGACACCAGGAAACATTATTGATATGGAGTTTTTTCTCTCTCTATTCTGAGTTGCTTTCTGTTGATAAAACATGCTTAGGTACCAAGTAATGTAAAACGCATCTAGCACAAGGATGGCACAAATCAGTTTCTGATACGTAAGCACTCTAGAACACATTTTCTACTGAAATAAACAGAAACAGCATTCTACCAGACTTAGAAGAAATTACCGCATTTTTCCACTCCACGACCATTCCTTTGACTGCGTCAAAATACATGTAGCACAACGAAATTATCAGGTCATAAATGAAAAATCCACTGGTCATTCTGAGTATATAGATCGTTATGTTTATATACATAATTTCACGAACCCTTAATACAGATGTTCATTACATTATTAATACGAATATCTTTACCATTTGTATTTACAATACACATATCTTTGAACAGAATGAGAATAACGGAGCCACCAAGTATTCTAAAGAGCTTGAAAAGTGTTCCGTTGCATATTTCTCAGAGACATAGAATATTCATTGATAAAATCACCATTCTACACTATGTAGTTGAAATGGTATGATGATTCATGGATTGTAAATAACATTTCAAATTTCGCTTTACAAAAGTTTATCTATTTGTAAGGTGGTCGCCTCTCCCACTGCTAGATTTGGACCCATTAAATTGTCGATAACAGTAACACAAACAGCAAAGACATTTTAGACACAATACCAGTTTCCTAATTCACAACACAAATTCTATGAAACAAAGATGAAATATAGACAAAATAAAGATTTACACAGAGATCCCTAAAAATGTACAAAGAGAATAAAATGCTTGACCATAGACACCCGTAATGTAAATATGCATTAACCAAGAAAAGCAGTGTTATAACGGAACTACCGGGTATACTAACGAGCCTCAAACATGTCCAGTTGCATATTTCACAAAGATACGAATATTCATAGTTGAAATAAATACAACTTCACAATAATTTTTGTCATTCTGAATCTCTCCACTCTAAATAATTGCTTTCTTTCGACGAGCAATGACAAATCGTTTCATTGGTATAATAAGATATAGAAATTGAGTAATTCGCTTTCACTTTCTTTTATCCGTCATGATAGCTAAATGCAAATTAAAACGCCGTGTGTGTTTTCTGCTCTAGCGTTTCCAAATACAATAACATACCAACGGCTGTGGTCAAGTAGGTTTGATAACGTAGATGGTCATCATTTTCTAAATAAACTTTACTTGAACAGGTAAAAACAAAAAACAAACCAAAAGAAAACACACACACACAATACATGCATAAAACAACGTTAGCGTAAATCTGGCAGTGGCGTCTTTTTGTTTCCTGCGTTCTGGCATTTTTCTCCTCGATTCTGCCGCTTTGATCTAAGTTTGTTCATATGAATTTCAGCGTTGAAATACGCCGTGTGCAGCAGACGTTTTGGGGCAGTGTCAATTTCATACTGAATAATTGCATTTTCGTTTGTTAATCCTTTATTCAGTACAATCGGAAAATGGTTGTATATTTCAGCAGCATTCCGGTCGTAATACATGAATGTAGAATTCGCAGGAACTTCGGGCGCTGACAATACCCTACCGGATTTTGACAGAGTAACTCTTAGGCGGCTGAAATTCATCACAGGCACAGATGGCGATACTGTGTTCTTCAGGTGAATCAGACCATAACGTTCTTCTAGGCAGTTTCTTCTCTTTTCCAAATTTTTCTCTGGAACAACGTCTGACCATAAATGTGTCCTATTATTTTCCTCTAGGAGATAAACTAAAATTCGGCAATGGTCGACACCTAATCCATAAATAGTCATTAGTCTTGTCGCGTAGTCTAGGGTAAGTGTGCCTCGGAATGCTCCAACTCTTAGATTAAATAAAAAAAAAATCAACAAATGTTTGGTTCTAATATCAGGTAAGAATATGATATTTATACTTGTTTACTGAAACGACACATAAGTGGATTGCAACTTTGAGTCCCTAAAGTCTACTCCTTACCCGTATGCCACATTTCACTCGGATAGTGGTAAGTTAAAATGCATATATGCACTTTTGAAATAATCACTATTATTATTAAACTTACGAAATTATTAAATTATGATAAAGTGCATACCCTCATCTAGATTTGACATTTCTATCGATAAATTTTGGTTTCCCTCAGTCGCCACCTAGGTTTCAAAATCAAGGTCTTTAGTATCACTGATCCGTCTTGCTTGTAAAAGGACAAAACAGTCGTCGTATCATGCAGTTAATTCATTACTGCATCTAGTTCTTAATATGTAAAGAAGGGTGCTATTCATATTTGTGTCTTTTGGTAGACATTGCTAGTGGACGTTT